TTAAATGACACCATGTTCCCACATTGTAAAACAAAATGTAAATGATAATAGACTGAAAAAGCAATATAGTTTGTTATTTAACAGGAATATATATATATATATATATGTAAATCAGTGGTAGACTTTAAGAAAATATAATTCTTTAATGTAAAGAATACAGAGGTAAGAAAGACCCAGAATAATATGAGGTTTAAAAAGGGCATCAAAGTGGCAGTTGACTATATTGGCATACTCCACACTTGAAACAAAATAGTTCTGCACAAGGAACTCCTTTTCACATTCTTTTTACTTTGCAAATCAGTATAATATTTATTTAGACAAGTACTGTTATACATAGCTTGTGTTCTTTGTATCTGTATGGTGAACAGAATTAGGTTTTGTTAAAGCTACTTTTGTTGGAGGTTTCTACCACAGGCATTCTGTTAAACAATTTAGCATACGCATCTTATTTAATCATTAAATCTGTGGCCAATGAGATAAAGCAAATCTGTGAGACAGGCCTTATCTCCATTTTATAAATGAGGCAAATGAAGCTCAGAAAAGAACCCTGCTCCCAGCTAATGCTGTATGTGGCTAGTCAGTGGAATGTTGAGATTCTTATTAAGTCCTTAACCCATACACTATTCTGTCGCACTGAGAACATGGATAAGTGCTGGGTGACTTCAGCTCCAGACAGAACTAAATTGAATAAGATCAGGCATTGTGGTATTCTGTATCTGTCCCTGCAATATGTTGAATAAATTAAGAAACATGCATTTTAAAGGGCTATAATTAGATTCAGAATTCTAATATGGAGAAACTGCTAGAGATATATAATTTTTTTGAGATATTTTCTTCAGGGATATCTGTTTTGTTCTATAAATTTCCTTGTGACCAGCCTGAATATTAGAAATCATAATATTTGCTTTTAGTTTGAAAAAAATTAGTCCTTCATTTAGTTGTCACTTTGATATTATAAACAACTTCTCTTACAAATTCTGTTATTGTCTAAGACACAGTTTCCTTTTAAAAGTACAACCTAGCCTTACATAAGTCATATTCATTGCCAAGTATTATGAATAAGTGGATTGCCATCAAAAAACTTCCTAAACTTTTCTTTGAATGAAGGTGAACATGATCTACCATATTGAGCTTGATCCTAATTTTTTTTTTTTTTTGAGACAGAGTCTCACTATGTCTCCTTAAGTAGAATGCCGTGGCATCACAGCTCACAGCAACCTCAAACTCTTGGGCTTAAGTGATTCTCCTGCCTCAGCCTCCCAAGTATCTGGGACTACAGGTGCCCGCCACAATGTCCTG